GGTGTTGGTGCGCAGCAACGGGTGCGACGTCCGGTGTCGTGGTCGATGCTGAAGGAAGGGGGGCGTCTGGTGCCACAGTGGGGCACGGGTGGGCGCGTGTTGTTTCTGGCGTTGAGTGCGTCATTTTTTTTCTTGATGCGGGCATGCGAAATGTTCGCTGGGTCCTCGTTGGCCATTGATTCTTGCCATGGGTTGCGTCGGGGGGACGTGGCGTTTTTTTTGGGTTCTCGCCAGTTGCCTCCGGAACGGAGGGGAGAGGCCGACAGAGTCGAGGTGCGGTTTCGGTCGTCGAAAGGCGACCAGTTTCGGAAGGGCGCCGTGTGTACGCGGGCGAGGCCGGGGCCTCCCCAGTCTGTGGAGTGTGGGGGGGGTGCAGTCGATGTGATGATTGAACTCCTGTCATCCTACCCTGTTCTCCCTTCGTTTGCTCCGTTAGTCGCGTTCGGAACTGGGCAGGGGCGATGGTCCGTGTAAACTCGTCGTCACGCGACGGGAGCGCTGCGGCAAGTCGTGTCGTTAGTGGGTCTGCCGTCGTCAGAGTACGCGTTGTGTTCCCTTCGGATTGGGGGCGCCACGTACTTGGCAGCGAGGGGAGCGTCGCCAGAAGTTCTGAGACGAGAGGGGAGATGGACTGGGGAATCGGGGTATCGGCCGTACGTAAGGAACCATGGGAAAGATGCAGAGTGGGTTTCTAGTACCTTGGCGTCGGAGGGTGATTCAGAGAGGNCAAAAGGAGGGGGTGGATTGTATGCAATCAGTGTTTATTGGTGGGTACAAGAGTGGGAACCACGGTAGAGGGGGAGAGAGAGTGCAGATCAGTATGGTAAACCAGTCCGCGGTTAGGTTGGGGACAGGCATGACTTTGAGAGTATGCCTGATGGTGCGGTGACTGGTTTATACTGATGGTGTTGTGGATGGGGATAGGTTGAGATCCCCGAGTTCCGCTCTTCTCTCCCCCCCTGTTCAAGCGTGGGGGGGTACGACCAAATAATGCAATTTCGAAAGCAACGAACAAAGCAGAAGATTGCAGAGACAGAGGCGTTGAAATCTGAGTTTTGTGAGGAGCGAAAGATGAAATATCTATTGGCCAATCAGAGAGCAGCAGCATGGAGTCAGCATGAAGTGTCTGAAACCTGACCATAAGATTAGACTTGGGAGCACTTGTTAGTCTGCCCCAAGGAAGCACGAAGGAGGCTGCTGCAGCCAAGAGATATTTCGGAGGAGACCTTTTCCTTTCCCACCCACCCACCTTTTGCTTTTGGGGGTGTCAGTGGTAGGGCGAGGACAGATCGCCAGTAGTAGCGAATGAGGAAGGTGTGGTCGTTTGCCGATACTGCTGATGGGGCGAGGGTCTCTTGGGTAGATGGTCCTTGCCCGGGTGTGTCTGTCGCGTTAGAGATGCTGGCGGTACTCTCAGTGCGGGTGAGATCGCTTAGTTGCTGTGCCACGAGCGGCGAGTGCACAGTGACTGGATGATTGGTGTGTCGGGTCGGCTGTATGTAGCCGTGGGCCGGCGGTCGGGGGGTGGGTGCGAACCCAACGTGGGGGTTCGTGGGGTACCGCGTGTGTGCGACCGTTGATGAGCTTGATGAGGTAGCGCGACTAGACATGGGCATGCAGTGGTGTACTTCACGGTGCATCACAATCAATGTGGTATATGTGCGGTATATTGAGGTCGGTATATCGGAACATGCGTGCAATTTGGAGAGAAGAGAGTGTGGGGAGCACCCGACATCCCAGGGGGAGTGGGCGCGCAGTTGGAAGTTGTTGTTGACAGCTGGCGCTGAGTGAGAGGGGGATGAGTGCGGTGCTAGTAGTATATCCAGTCCATGTTCATGTACTTACATGTACGGATACAACATGTGCGGGGCTTTGAGGTGCCGGGCAATTTTTGTTTCTGTTTTTTTGCATTTCCTTTCTGTGGAGATGTAGCTCGGCATTGTCTATGCATACGTATGCTTCGGAGTAGTATGTGTTGTATACATGGATGTATCGGAGTCTGTGGAGGACAGGGGGCAGGCATGACTTTGAGAGTAGACTGCCTGATGGTGCGGTGACTGGTTTATACTGATGTGTTGTGGACAGGGATAGGTTGAGATCTTCGAGTTCCGCTCTTCTCTCCCCCCCCTCTTCAAGCGTGGGGGGTACGACCAATCAATGCAATTTCGAAAGCAACGAACCAACACACCTTGCCCGTTATAGTAGTGGTAGTCTGCAATCTCGCAAAAGGCACGAATCTCTTGAGGAAAAGAAAAAAACTTTGGTTTTCTCTGTCCGCGTAGCCCCCAAGTTTATTGCAGTGCACGAAACCGTCGCGGGCTGTTCGTCGACGTCGACTGCTGTTGTTCTGGGTTGAGGGAACTATATCTGCGACGGGTGCACCATGCACCTCGCATCCTCAAACTTCCCGTTCGTAACTCAGGCGCTGCTGCTGCACCCGCTGTCTGCTGGCCATGAGCAGATGAGAAACTCGTCAAGGGAATTTCGTGGTGAGGCATCTCGTCGTGGTGATGTTCTTGAGAGGAAACTAAATAGCGGCTGACATGGGATGGATACATTTCACCTCGACGCCGTTGAACACTCAATCAACGTTCTACATGGGAGAATTTTGTCAAGCACAGCGATTGGTGTGGGGTCGAGGTAAAACGGGAGGCACACGCACTCCTGTTGCAGATTGAAGATCACATCCACTAGAGTCTATCCTACGAACGATTGTATCTTCAATTTACCCGTATAGAGCGGCGGAACACAAACCTACGGCTGTATGTGGGGTTCGCGATGCAATAGCCGGGAGGCAGCAGGAGCGTGTTTACTGAAAGCAGCAATACTGCTGTAGTCGATGTCCTTGCGAGGTGATACGGCATCAAGCAGAGATAAACGCGACCTGGACTATCCTCCCGCCTCGAACTTGAGTGTCTCCTTCAAGCCACGCCTCACGATCGACCCTTAGAGTAGACTAGACTACTGATACTACATCTAACTGTTCAACCAAGATCCTCCACCACCATGAGTGAGGAATCTGAGACGACGGCTGGTGGTGATGGGGTGACCGAGGAGCAACGACGAAAATGTGCATGGGTGGAAGCTACTGATCTACCTCGCCCGGCTCTGACTGAAGAAGAGTCATTGGTACGCCTACCAAACCTGCCACCACCAGCGCCCCTAGAAAGGTAACACATCATAGTCTATATAGTCTATGTGATCCATCCAACACCTTTCGACTTCGAGAACCTCGGGTTGGTCGTGGATTTGGTGCGAGATAGATATTTGCCGACCACAGTGAACCACAGTTTGCCACTGCTGCAGTACATATATCGAACATGTGTAGGCAACGAAATCTACGCTACACCAGAAGATCTTCATACGGTTGGGGCGGCATCACACGCGAAGGGATAGCTACAATATAGGATACCATCAGGATTGTCATCGGTTATATTTCAAGTTGAAGAGGAGATATTTTTACGATGTAAATGACAGTAGAAATAAGTCCTACATATGTTGTTGTACTTCGTATTGGTTTCATATTCATGTAGAGTATGAGACATTAGGTGAAAGTTTTCTGAGGTACATCTGAGGTATATATATATATATATATATTTCTATGGCCCGCGAGCAGAAGCGATGCCTGTTGCACCACAGTGTACCGAAGCTGTTGTAGCTTATACAGCAGTAGTCCTGGAAAAAAACCGATTCGTACAGAACAGTCCAACGCTCAAGGATTGCAGAAATCTTGTCAGGACTGATCTGCAACACTGGCGAGTATATGTTGTAGTGCGTCGACATGCGACGAGTATCCTGTTCCACACATGCAACTAGAGAAACTTGAGATTCGAGGAAACAGGCCCACGGCTCATCGCTGAAGCAGCCCGCTTGGACAACCCTTCGCCGTACTATAGATCCACCGGAGGTTCTGTTTCGGCGGTCGGCCCCAACAGCAGCTGCGGCCTGACTTCGGGGGCCGGTCCCGGTACGGCCACCTACTCCGTACTCGAGCGACGCTTGCAGAAGGCCATCAACGCTAATACCAAGTGGCAGCAAAAGTACGAAATCGAGACCAAGGTAAGTCCGACGGTGCGTTGTTCACGTTACCTCTGAACTGCCGCGGACGCTCGCTCAACAAGCTTGACATATTGATGTACACCTACCACGCACTTCGTTTCTCGGTGGTTCAGCGCCTCAAGCGCTTACATGGCAGTCATTGCACCCCCCCTATCCCCCAGTGCGTCCTTTGTTTTAGGCAGTACCGTCCTCCGGAATGATTCTCAACGCAGGCTCTACACGAAGAATCGGGTCACCGGTTTCGACATCTCGAAATCGAATGAAAACGCCTCGTTTATCACGCAGCCGTTCCATTGCCGAGAAAAACGTCGTGACACACAATGTGCCAGCGCGGTGGTCCTGCTGCCGGGAGGTGCCATTCCGGCCGATTTCAGCGTCGCCCGTGACGAATCAGCCCGGCGTACAAGGCAGCATTTCCCAAACACTTTCCACTTATCATATCTGTCGCGTGGCTCTCTGCTTCCAGCCCCCCCCCCCCCCCCCC